AATGAATGAAGATAAATACATTCAGAAAAGAAATCAGACAATTGCTACAATGAAATATTAAGCAATAGTAATAGTAATAATGCAAAGAAAGTAACATTCACATTGTCAGATAGGAGTATGTCTATTATAGAATACTTTGATCAGTTAACTTCTTCTTCTTATTTTGTTTTTTCCAAAGTCTCAAAAAAATAGACAACTAATTTTTTTTTTTTTGAGACAGAGCCTCAAGCTATCCCCCTGGGCAGAGTGCCATGGCATCACAGCTCACAGCAACCTCCAACTCCTGGGCTCAAGTGAGTCTCCTGCCTCAGCCTCCCAAGTAGCTGGGACACAGGCACCTGCTACAATGCCTGGCTATTTTTTGGTTGCAGCCATCATTGTTGTTTGGCGGGCCCGGGCTGGATTCGAACCTGCCACCTTAGGTGTATGTGGCTGGGGCCTTACCACTTGAGCCACAGGCGCCAAGCCAAGACAACTAATATTTATAAATAAAAGTAAACGATAATTTCAAAAAAACAGATCATGCCAAATCTTATAGACAATAGAAAAAGAAATACTTCAAAATCATTCTACTTAATCTGGATACACCTGATATTAAAATTGGAGAAAATATATTATTATAAAGGGGAAATTACAAACATATATCACTTATAAATGAGGATGCAATATGATAAACAACATATTAACATGTTGAATTAAAAATTAATGTTTAAGTAATGTACTTTGGTCAAAATTAAATGCAATTTATATGAGAATTAGTCACTATTTTCTTTCTTTTTTCTTGCTCACACCCCCTCCCTCCCTCTCTGTCTGGTCTCCCCTTCCCCCATGCCCCACCGTGTCATAAATTGTCATTTATTGTCTTCATATCAAAGTTGAATACATAGGATTCTTACTTCTCCATTCCTGTGATGCTTCACTAAGAATAATGTGTTCCACCTCCATCCAGGTTAGTACAAATGCTGTAAAATCTCCATTATTTTTGATGGCTGAATAATATTCCATGGCATACATATACCACAGCTTACTAATCCATTCCTGGGTTGAAGGACATTTAGGCTGTTTCCACATTTTAGCGATTGTAAATTGAGCTGCAATAAATAGGCTAGTACAAGTGTCTTTATAATAAAAGTTTTTTTTTCCTTCTGGATAGATGCCTAGTAATGGGATTGCAGGATTAAATGGGAGGTCTAGGTTGAGTTCTTTAAGGTTTCTCCATACTTCCTTCCAAAAAGGTTGTATTAGTTTGCAGTCCCAGCAGCAGTGCAAAAGCATTCCTTTTTCTCCACATCCCTGCCAGCATCTGCAGTTTTGAGATTTTGTGATAATGGCCATTCTCCCTGGGGTTAGATGATATCTCAGGGTGGTTTTAATTTGCATTTCTCTAATAATTAGGAATGATGAACATTTTTTCCTATGCTTAGTAGCCATTCATCTATCATCTTTAGAGAAGATTCTATTCATCTCTCTTCCCCATTGATGTATGGGATTGTTGTTTTTTTCTTGTAGATTAATTGAAGTTCTGCATAGATCCTGGTTATTAGACTTTTGTCTGATTCAAAATATGCAAATATCCTTTCCCACTGAGTAGGGTGTCTATTTGCTTTGGTTGTTGTCTCCTTGGCTGTACAGAAACTTTTCAGTTTCATTAAATCCCATTTGTTTATTATTGCTATTGTTGCTATTGCCATGGCAGTCTTCCTCATGAAGTCTTTCCCCTGGCTAATATCTTCCAGTGTTTTTCGTATTCTTTCTTTGAAGATTTTTATTGTTTCATGCCTTAAATTTAAGTCCTTTATTCATCTTGAATCAATTTTTGTGAGTGGAGAAAGGTGCAGGTCCAATTTCAATCTTTTACATGTGGATATCCAGTTCTCCCAGCACCATTTATTAAATAGAGAGTCTTTCCCCCAGTGGATGCTTTTGTTTGGTTTATCGAAGATTAGGTGGCTGTAAGTTTCCAGGTTTTCTATTTGATTCCAAATATCTCTATCTCTATTTTTGTGCCAGTACAATGCTGTCTTGATCACTATGGCCTTGTAGTATAGACTAAAATCTGGTATAGTGATACCCCTGGCTTTGTTTTTGTTATAAGAACTGCCTTAGCTATATGGGCTTTTTTCTGGTTCCATACAAAACGCAAAATCATTTTTTCCCAAGTCTTGAAAGTAGGTAGTTTAAAGATGGCGTTGAATCAGTAAATTACTCTGGGAAGTATAGGCATTTTAACAATGTGATTATTCCCAGTCATGAGCATGGTATGTTCTTCCATTTGTTGATGTCCTCTGCTATTTCCTTTCTTTTCTTTTCTTTTTTTTTTTTTTGAGACAGAGCCTCAAGCTGTCTCCCTGGGTAGAGTGCCGTGGCATCACAGCTTACAGCAACCTCCAACTCCTGGGCTCAAGCGAGTCTCTTGCCTCAGCCTCCCAAGTAGCTGGGACCACAGGCGCCTGCCACAACACCCAGCTATTTTTTGGTTGCAGCCATCATTGTTGTTTGGCGGGTCCCAGCTGAATTCGAACCCACCACCTTGGGTGTACATGGATGGCGCCTTAGCCACTTGAGCCACAGGCGCCGAGCCGCTATTTCCTTTCTTAGGGTTTCATAATTTTCTTTATAGAGGTCCTTCACGTCTTTGGTTAGATACATTCCTAAGTATTTCATTTTCTTTTGGGCTATGGTGAAGGAAATTATGTCCTTAATTAACCTCTCATCTTGGCTGTTGTTGGCGTATACAAAAGCAACTGACTTGTGGACGTTGATTTTATATCTTGAGACATTACTGTATTTTTTGATGACTTCCAAGAGTCTTGTGCTTGAGTCTTTGGAGTTCTCCAGGTATAAGATCATATCATCAGCAAAAAGGGAGAGTTTAACCTCCTCGGCTCCCATTTGGATGCCCTTTATTTCCTTGTCTTGTCTAATTGTATTGGCTAAAACTTCTAGCACAATGTTGAATAGTAATGGTGACAGAGAACAATCTTGTTTGGTTCCAGTTCTAAGAGGAAAACCTTTCAGTTTTATTCTGTTCATTAAAATACTAGCTGTGGGTTTTTCATAGATAGCTTCAATCAGTTTAAGAAATGTCACCTATACCTATACTCCTCAGTGTTCTAATTAAAAAAGGATGCTGGATTTTATCGAATGCTTTTTCTGCATCTATTGATAAGATCATGTAGTCTTTGGTTTTACTTCTTTGATATGGTGAATAATGTTTATTGGACTTGTGTATAATAAGCCTTGTATTCCTGGGATGAAACCTACTTGATCCTGATGTATGACTTTTTTTGATGATAAGCTGTAATCTATTAGCTAAGATTTTATTAAGAATTCTCCTTTTGGTTGGGTCTTTTCCCAGTTTTGGTATCAGGGTGAGGTTTGCTTCATAGAACATGTTGGGGAAGATTCCTTCCTCCTCAATCTTTTGGAATAATTTCTGAAGTATAGGAGTAAGCTCTTCCTTGAAGGTTTGATACAATTCTGGTGTGAAGCCATCTGGACCAGGGCATTTTTTTGTTGGGAGATTTTTTAATGTTTCTTTGATCTCAGTGCTTGAAATTGGTCTGTTCATGAGATCTATTTCATCTGGGCTAAGTCTAGGGAGAGGGTGTGATTCCAAATATTGATCCATTTCCTTCACATTATCAAATTTCTGGGCATAAAGTTTCTGGTAGTATTCAGAGATGATCTTTTGTATCTCTGTGACATCAGTTGTTATTTCCCCTTTATCATTTCTGATTGAGATTACTAGAGATTTTACCTTTTTACTTCTAGTTAGTCTGGCCAAGGGCTTATCTATTTTATTTATTTTTTCAAAAAACCTTGTTTCATTAATTTTCTGAATGATTCTTTTGTTTTCAATTTCATTGATCTCTGATTTAATTTTGGATATTTCTTTTCTTCTGCTGGGTTTAGGCTTAGAGTGTTCTTCTTTTTCTAATTCCATCAGATGGCTTGTGAGTTTGTTGATGCGCTCTCTTTCTGTTTTTCAAATGTAGGCTTCTAAAGCGATGAATTTTCCTCTCAGGACTGCTTTTGCTCTACCCCATAGGTTTTGGTACCTTGTGTCATCAATGTCTTTATACTTAAAGAAGTTACTGATTTCCTTTTTAATTTCTTCCTGCACCCAACTGTCATTCAGCATAAGGTTGTTTAACTTCCATGCCTTTGTGTGAGGTTGAGCGTTATTGCTGGAGTAGAGTTCTACTTTTAGTGCCTTGTGATCTGAAAAGATGCAAGGTAGAATTTCAATTCTTTTGATTCTGTTGAGGTTTGCTTTGTGCCCTAGGATATGATCAATTTTGGAGAATGTTCCATGGGATGATGAGAAGAATGTATATTCTTTATCTTTGAGATGGAGTGTTGTACATATGTCTATCAAGCACAGTTGTTCTAGGGTCTCATTTAAATCTCTAATATCTTTGTTTAATTTCTGTTTACAGGATCTGTCCAGCTCTGAGAGAGGGGTGTTAAAGTCCCCTGTTATTATGGTGTTATAGGATGTCATATTGCTCAGACTACGCAAGGTCTGTTTTAAGAATCTAGGAGCATTTAAATTGGGTGCATAAATATTTATAATAGAAATATGGAAGTCAGAAGAAAAGAGGGGTTGCAATCTTATTTTGAGATACATGTGGATTTAAAGCAACTAAAGTTACAAAAGACAATGATGGTCACTTCATATTGGTCAAGGGAAAAATACAAGAAGACATTTCAATTCTAAATATTTTTTTTTTTGTCGTTGTTGTTGCAGTTATTGTTGTTCTAGCTGGCCTGGGCCACCACCTTTGGTATGTAGCTGATGCCCTGTATACTGAGCTATGGGTGCCACCCAAACTTTAAGTATTTTAAAGTGACCTTTTATTAAACTAATTATTACTTAATCTAAACTCAGGCACAGTGGTCAAACAAATTAAAACCATTTGTTAATGTCATAAAATTCCTATTTTTTAATGATCTTGCATTTAAACAGATTTTATAATATCCAAATCCATGAAGTAAATAGCAGACTTTAAAAATATATTATTTTTCCAGTGTCCAGCTTAGTCTAAGAATTTGTGAGGCTGGCTTGATCCATGGCTGTGAAGAATACACAAATAGCAGCTGTAATGAGTAGGTGCATTCCCTCATAGAGAAGTTTTGGAGAAAATACGCTCCATATAAACAAATGATAACGCAGGGATGTCACCAAAATAATGTATGTGGAAACTGGTATAGAACAAATCAGTGCGTAGCAGAAGCAAGCATGACTCAGCGCTGAATCACTGTTAACAGAAAAGAAAATGTGTATTAGCATATGTCGCATGTGTCACAAAAGGCAAGAACATACATGCAAGTAACACTTTCACTTTGAGAAGGACTGCAGTAATTCCTGCTCCTGGACTAGAAGGTGGTGCATTCTTTCTTCTGCACACCAACCAGTCACTTCTGTACTAGGGTAGCATTCCTTTAGAGAAATGGAAAAGGGAAAAAACAGTCCCAGCTCCCCAGGAGCACACGTTCTAGTGAAGGAGACAGGAAAAACATGTCAGGAAGAGACAAATGCTATGCAATATAAAGCAGAGGCAAAAGAAGAGTGCTGGGAGAGCTCTCCAGAAAAGCTTCCAAAAACCTGATGGTATATAAAAGGGTGTTTGTTAGACATGTTTCTCTGGGACCCCCGCCCCCAAAGAGATCTGGGTGTGGTCAGTGGCTTCCCTGCTCTTTGGGGCACCACAATATATATGCAAGACGTTTCCCAAATGTTGCATATTTGTTTAAAAACTATACCCATGTACTATTTATTGTATCACATATAGTATATCTTAAAATATAACCAATGAATACAATGCAATATAAATTTAAGTTCTATTCTAAACTTTTCTTCTTGCTGTCTAATAGAACATCTTGTCACTCTTGTCTGGTCTGAGGACACTGGTTTGAAAGTGCTTCTAAGCAAATTAACAGTGAAGAACAGCACTCTTGAAATAAGAACCACCTCAAAGCACATTAATGTCTTCCCTTTGTTTTCAGACCATTAAGATAAGTGTCACATATTATCTAACCTATTTCTTAAAGCAATTCCCTATGGCAGAGGTTCTCAACCTGTGGGTTGCAAACCATAGGAACTGTATTAAAGGGCCACCGCATTAGGAAGGTTGAGAACCACTGCCCTATGGTTTTGTGCTTTTTTTTTTTTTTTTTGAG